AATAGCAACAGGCCGGGCCGGGCTGGCGACGCGCACCACTGGCTTGGTGCGAGGGGCAGGAACAGGCCGGGCCGGGCTGGCGACGCGCACCACAGGCTTGGTGCGAGGAGCAGGAACAGGCCGGGCCGGGCTGGCGACGCGCACCACTGGTTTGGTTCGGGGAGCAGGCACGGGTCGTGCCGTACTGGGAACACGCACCACTGGCTTAGTGCGGGGATCAGGAACGGGCCGGACCGGCCTGGCGACACGCACCACTTGCTTGGTGCGAGGAGCGGGACTGGGTTCCCTTATAAACCCCCGCTCCTTCTGCTGCCTAACCAGCTCCTCTCGCCGTGCCTTTACACTCTCCTTCTCCCTTATAGCCTCCTGTAGCTCCTCCCTCTGACCAAATAACTCCTGCTCCCTCTGAACCAATAGCCTCCGTAACCTGGTGGCCTCCTCTCCTAACCTGCAGAATCGCCCTGTCGCTGCCTCCTGCTGCCTCGTCGTGCCCCCAAAAAATTTTTTTCTTGGGGTTGCCTCTCGGGTCTCCGTCGTCGGCACTGTTGGCGCCGTTTCACCTCTCCTACCTGGGCATCCTCCTTCATCGCCTTCCGGTAGCGGACGGCCTCCTCCTCCGTAATTCTCCCCCAACCGAGGAGGACATCTACTAAAGTAACCTCCTGTTTAATTCCCGGCGTTTGCTCCTGAACACGCTGCTTGGTCCTCGTTTGGTGGGATCTTCTGTCACGATCGTTTACAGACGAGAAGGACCAAGGCGCAGCGTGATAAGCATACATGTTTATTTAAACGAATGAACACGCGACAAAACAACAAACGAAACGTGAAGTCCAAGGTAACACACAAACATACCATAACTGGAACAAGATCCCACAACTAACAGGTGCCAAAAGGCTGCCTAAGTGTGGTCCCCAATCAGAGACAACGAGCTACAGCTGCCTCTGATTGGGAACCACCCCGGCCAACATAGATCTACACATACTAGACCTTAAACATAGAACATCGACATAGCAAACACAACACAGAAAATACACACCCTGACTCAACAAATACAAGTCCTCAGAGTCAGGGCGTGACATGGACCTTACAGATAATTGTATGTGTGGGGTACAGAGATGAGGTAGTCATTCAAAAACCATGTTAAATACTATTATTGCAAACAAAGTGAGTCCATGCAACTTATTGTGACTTGTTAAGCACATTTTTACTCCTGCACTTATTTAGGCTTGCCATAACAAAGGGGTTGAATACTTCAGCTTAAAAATGTATTTTTTTTGGTAAAAAATAAACATAATTCCACTTTGACATTATGGGGTATTGTGTGCAGGCCAGTGACTATTTACCCCCCAATGTAATCCATTTTAAGTTCAGGCTGTAACCCAACAAAATGTGGAAAATGTCAAGGGGTGTGAATACCTTCTGAAGGCATTGTACCTTGTAAAGTACACAAATATATTTCAAGATATATTACATTCAAGATTCAAGATATTCAATATTATATACAGTGTTGTGAAACTATTATGTATTTTGTGGACATTGCATAATTTAATTCAATTACATCTCTTCATATTGATATCCTCTGTCATCAGAGTGATATTGATCTCGCATATTAGTTGTAATAAGTTGTCAATGAAACTTATTGGATGGGCAGTAGGCCTATAGCATCTTGTCTTCCAACTACCTTAGTCAATGTCTCAATGTGATCTCAATTGTTGTCTAGTGATTTACAAAATGGCATCTCTGGTGCACAGACAATTTATGAATTCTCATCACTCCATGACAATGGATATTGAATAACATTCTCCTCGCTTATGTGGAAAATAATCGAATTTACATGCATTTCTTTTGATATTACATTTTTGCAGACGTTTTTATCCAGAGCGACTTACAGGAGCAATTAGGGTTAAGTGCCTTGCTCAAGGGCACATCGACAGATTTTTCACCTAGTCGGCTCAGGGATTAGAACCAGCGACCTTTCGGTTACTGGCACAACGCTCTTAACCACTAAGCTACCTGCCACCCTGATATCAACATATACAGACAGTTTTCAGTTTCCTGGTTCAGTCATTGACATTTGTTATTCTGTGTAGTCAACAGATCGCACACACCATGCAGATGCCCTGTCCTGGCACCTTTTCACCGCCCGTCTTCGACCACCCCTTGGGCTGGTACAGGTGTGTTTGGGGTTGGCATCGAAGCATGTCAATATTTCCCTTTGCCGAAGAGTTTCAAATTGGCTTCAACCTCGGTAGCCTGAGGGAGCTAGTTCAACTTAGTGTTACCATGGTTTAGCTAACTAATATTGTTGGAAATGTGATATACGGTTGCAGAACCAATGACATCATGTTGTTCTTAGCTTAAAGGGATAGAGTGTAATCTAATTATACCTGAATACCTATGCATATTCTAGTCTAAAGTAAGAAAACTAATTATCCTTTAAAGGAGAATCCACTTCCCAGGAATCAAAGCAGATCTTTGATTGACTGCTGGTCTTATCTCCTGTGTTTATACATGCGTGGTGTGAACATGTGTTTTATGTTTTACCTGTGTGTGTGAAGTGGTAAAGTCAAGTGTGTGAAGAACACGGATGGTCTATGATGCGCTCAGGCAAAACATAGCTCTCTGAGTGCAACTACGTGGCTACACACACACACACACACACACACACACACACACACACACACACACACACACACACACACACACACTCATATCAAGGGAGCGCTGTGTGTTCTGATCTATACCTTGGGATGCTTCAGTGGTTTTGGGGCCCATCAATAATGGAACTATTTTGGTAGCGAGGGTTCCGCTTGTGACTACTGACAGTTGTTTGATTAACATGAAATATATAGCCCTCTTCCTCATCATCATTGTCTTTCTCTTTGGATACACCTGATCTACCACTGTTTTCAGTAAGGTTGTTAGTCTGGTGGGTGTTTCAAAGCTGCTCTGGAATAGATGGTGCTGTTCTACTGTGGATACTCTACAATGGAGGAATCTGGAATATCCTACCTTGTCCCTCGCTATAGCCATGCTCATACTGTAGCTCAGAGCGTTCTATTTCTATGGGTCAGACATCACAACAGTAAAATAACTAGCACGTTGTTGTTACCTGTTGTGAACCCCCCCCTTACCACCAAGGCGAGAACGCGACAGTGGGCCCCGTCGTCTCGTGGCGGCCTGACGAAGGAATGTCACACCACCTCGCCACTTCCTTCGCTGAGTTATTAAGGAGGCCAGTGCCAAAAGTGAATCACACCCCTCATTTCTCTCCTTACCAGGCTTAATGAAACAGCTTCTTCTTTGTTTTCCTTTTCTCCACCTCCCACCTTCCAGGGCTCCCGAGTGGCGCAGTGGTCTAAGGCACTGCATCTCAGTGCTTGAGGCGTCACTATAGACCCCCTGGTTCGATTCCAGGCTGTATCACAACCGGCCGTGATTGGGAGTCCCATAGGGCGGTGCACAATTGCCCGGGGTTTGGCCGGTGTAGGCCGTCATTGTAAATAAGAATTTGTTCTTAACTGACTTGCCTAGTTAAATAAAGGTTAAAAAACAGCAGGCTAAAACACACAGATGGCCTGCCTCATCAGTGAAGGTGTTTGTTTGTCAACAACACCCAACCTTAATTGGTCTTTGTGTCCTTCCCTCAAAATTTGTCCTGAATTAATCCGCTGTAGCTCAGCTGGTAGAGCACGGCGCTTGTAATGCCAAGGTAGTGGGTTCGATCCCCGGGACCACCCATACACGAAAAATGAATGCACGCATGACTGTAAGTCGCTTTGGATAAAAGCGTCTGCTAAATGGCATATTATTATTATTCATTATCGAGTCTGAGCAAACAGTCACTGATCAAGTATTTTCTCTCACCAACACAGATGAACAGAATGGACAGAACACTCACCCCACACATCTGCCCCGTGTTTGCTGTGTAGAGAAAGAACGAGAGAAATCTATCTATTCATCTGTCAAGTCCGTGTTAGTCATCGCTGGTTGGAGAGAGTGTCTTTGATTTGAAAAATCAATACATATATTGTGGAGGCTTCTCTCTGTGGGCATTGAAAAGGAACTCAGTATCCGACAAGTAAATGCCTCTTCTTAGTCCTCATGCCACTCTTATTTCCTAACGACATTTTTCAATAGTTTTCAATGCAGGGTTTTTGCTTAAGCAGACCTTGTAAGGTAAACGGATAACGCTTGATTGAAGTTCCTTTTAAAACAAAATGTTTCTGTCTGAGCACCGTTCTCAGCTATTCAATGTCAATACCAAGTTTTTTAAATCATCCTTGCAATGCCAGGTGAGTACATAAAAAAGTGAAAAGCTGTATGGTTCATGCTCACCTCTTGACTATGAAAATCCTCTATATATGCCCATCCTTGGCAATGAACTGAAACTACAGTATGCCAGCATATGGAATGTGTAGAATGGAGTGATAGGGGAGCATTTGGTCAAAAATATATTTGGCTTTATCTGTCTGAGGGGGCAGTTGAGATGCTGCATAGAGACAGCTAAGACTGGGGGGGACCCTGTCAGGTGAGAAAGAGGGATGAAGGAAAGGGGGAGGAAGGTGAAAGGTAAGAGAGGTTAAAGAGGATATAGTATTTCTGGAGGTGAAAACAAACGGATGGACTGTGGACAAATTTGGACGTTAGAACTCAAGGGTAACATGCTGAATACACCGGCCACACGAGTGCATGAACCATCGTCCGCATGTTTATTTTGTCTATCCCCACCAGATGCGATCATGACACGCAGGTTAAAATACCAAAATCAACTAAGAGAGAGTGTGAGCAGATAGAGAGAGAGAGTGTGAGCAGAGAGAGAGAGAGAGTGTGAGCAGAGAGGGATATTAGAGGCAGCGGGGAGGAGGAGGATAGAGAGAGAGGTAGTGAAAGAGAGAGTGGGGAGCCACACTTGGCTTGAGGATTCCATGGGAATGAGGAGAGACTTTGAGATGGTGAGTTAAGGGACAGAACAGGAGGGCTTGTGGTCATTCATGTTCATGTATACTAGCCAGCTGGTCACCAAGAGGAGAAACATGCAGATGGAGAAGCAGCATGTCCTTCACAAAGACTCCAAGACTGTAATGAGCTCTACTCAGTCTCCAACCAAAGACTGTAGGAGATCTTAACCATCTATCTACTACCTTTCTGTTTTGTTGGCGACTTGACGGGTTGGACAAGCCATCCCACATCCAGCTGGTAGGACATTGGACAAGTTGGTGAAAGGAGATTTGACTCCCTTTGACAAGACTGAAGCGCAGCAAATGTAGGTGAGAGTTGACTACTGGAAACTGCCCATTGGAGTATGCACTATGGATCTTTCCAGGTGCTTATGCGTGTTGAGCTTACTTTTCTTCGTGCATCCTTCTCAAGGTAAAGTCTTGTGAAATTCTACCTTCTTTAATTGATGTTGTCTCTGAGTTTCAGTTTATAGGCTGATCATTGACATGCTTGTTAGACTTGACTTTACAGTTTCCTATATATTATACATTGTTTAGATTATGTAATGATAAAACATGAATTTTATGTTACAGATGCATATGTTTGTAATGTAATCAATAACAAATGTAATATCAAATATTCTCAAATATATCAACTCCACACAATATCAATTGTTTATCACAATGATTTTCAATGACACATTTTCATTGTGGATCAGGTTGATTTGAAGCCTGCTTTTGAGAGAAGGATTCTCTGTTGTGCTTGTTGTTTGGATTTAGTTGTGAGAGAGTTGGAATATGCATCACAGGAGGTTGGTGTCACCTTAATTGGGGAGGACGGGCTTGTGGTAATGGCTGGTTTCCATGTGTTTGATACCATTCCATTAGCGCCGTTCCAGCCATTATTATGAGCCATCCTCCCCGCAGCAGCCTCCTGTGCTGTGCATACACTTTTGTCTAATGAAAACATTTTCATCATAAGAGAACAGATTTAGGTCCATTTAATATTAACATAAGCCAAAAGAAACCACTTATTTTATATGTGTCACTGGACAGCACAAATTTATTTTAGAGGAGAGACCCATACCAGTCTTTAACAGTCACATTTAGATATACAGTAGTTTTTCATGTAGTTGTGTCAGTAAAAAAATTTAATATGTTTTACAGTAAACAGATTTCATTCACAATGAAACAGTGTGGATGATGATAATAGTTTAAGACCAATTATAAACTGGGTGGTTCAAGCCCTGAATGCTGATTGGCTGACAGCCGTGGTATACCACGGGTTTGACAAAACATGTATTTTTACTGCTCTAATTACGTTGGTAACCAGTTTATAAAAGCAATAAGAAACCTCAGGGGTTTGTGATATATGACCAATATACCATGGCTTAGGGCTGTTCTTAGGGCCTTATTGCTTGAATGTTGCCTTTGGGTGTGGCTGAAATAGCTGACTCCACTAATTTGAAGGGGTGTCCGCGTACTTTTGTATATGTGGATAGAGACCACTGTAAAGAACAGTCTATCAAGATCCAAAATAAGACCGATATAGACACCTACCATCAGTGTTAAAAACCTATAAGAATCACTGCTTTGAAGTCCACAGAACTCTGGTCAGAAATATCTGCTGATCCAGTGTTGAAAATAAACTTGTATCTATTGAGAAGCCATGCAGGATGCATATCTCTTGTCTTGTCTCCGACAAAGCTTGTAAGTCAAAATCCAACGATAGGGACAAACATACCTGTCCCTCCCAGCAGTTATTGGAACGAAAGGTTTCCCTGACGCGTCTCAAGGTTGTCAGGTGTCTGGACATGTCAAACAGACCCAGGTGTAAACGGACAGAAGAGAAAATAAGTATATCCATTTAATACATTATTGATCCTGAGCCTTTAAAAATAGAAGAGGATGCCAGATTTCAGGCAACTGAAGGACAGCCCATCAGCTTTGATTGAGTGGAGACGAGGACTTGAGTGTAAGGGCAGCATACTAAGATACACAGTGTCACCGACTCACCATTGTTAATGTTCATACTTAGGTATCTTTGCAGAAGTCTGTTTGATTTGGCAATTAACAACATATGGCTGTGTATGTACAGTACTCAATACACGTGCAATGGCAGGTCAAGAGAAATAATGAATAAATAAAAGACTGGGCTTAAACATCCCCCAAACTTTGCTCTCTCTCCTCTCCTAATTGTTCTCAGACATCGTTAGGTCATCCTCCCTGCTATGTGAGCCAATTCTAAAAAGGAGGGATGTAATTGAGTTCACTCATCTGAGCCGAAAGGGAGGGAGAGAGAGGGGGAGGGAGAGAGAGAGAGGAGGAGAAAGTGAGAGGGTGGGGAAGAGAGTGAGGAAGAGATTGTGAGAGAGAGCGACTGAGATGAGAGGAATGGCGAGAGAGATGAGAGAGAGAGAGGGGAAGAAAGAAAGTGAAGAGAGAGAGAGAGAGAGAAAGCAAGGGATGAGAGGCGTTTCGTCTGATCGCACCATCAGCATGTATATGCGTGAGAGACACAACGTCCTCCAACTGGGCTTCAGCCATCCTTCTTTTTATATCCTCTTTTGCTTCCCTCTCTTTCTCTGATACTGTCTTATGTTACCATATGCCAACACTCAGCAGAGGTCACCCTCTTTCAGATTACACCTCCTATCCAAATGCAAAGAGACGCTTTTACGATGGCTGTCTGCTTGAGAGAAACTCATTATAAGATATGTGCTTTTGGTGGGGGGAGGGGTGGGGTCTACAGTTCGTACGCAATGTTGTATATGTGTGACCGCTCAATTTCTACCTCTAATAGATCTCTATTTTTAGATGACACACAGGATTGTACACTGAGTTTAAATGTAGGGGAGTTAAAGGTCCAGTGCAAAAGTATGTGTAAAGGTTCAAAGAATCCAAGAATCTAAAAAGGAGAATAAACATGGGAATGAGCTCTCCAGAAGGAGTTAATGATGGTAACGTCAAATCAAAGTAGCAAAATAGCATCAGGAGTGAGATACTAGATGATTGTTGTCTGACTTGTATGAAAATACTTTAATTTACTTCCTGATTGCACATGATTATATGTTTTTCATTACATAATATTAATACCCTGAAACAAAAAATACCAATAGAAAACTGACGACAGCAGGTTAATGAGTTAATGATAAAGTCTTTCACAGAGGGTCAGCCTAAACATTCACTTGTCCACTGTATGTAGCCCAAGTAAGCAGTGGCCTAAGATCTATTTTCAAACACTTTCATTTGATACTGTACCAAAATGCAGTAGCTTGTTGTTCTCTGAGGCGGTGTGTGGAACTGGACACCCTGACTATTGTCTTTCTCCCTCCTCCCAGTGTATCCTCTTGGTGGACCCCGGGTCCATGCTTTCCATGCTGCCCATGCCGCTGAGGAAAGGCTTCTCAAGAACCTGTTTGCCCACTACAACAAGCTGTCCCGGCCCGTGGCCAACACCTCCGACGTGGTGCTTGTTCACTTTGGCCTCTCCATCGCCCAGCTCATCGACGTGGTTAGCAAACTCAAACAACTCCGATATTTCTTCACATATTTAGTTGTGGTTGATAGATGCACTGGGGCAAAGTCTTTAACTTAAACTTCAGTCAAGGAGACTTGTGACTTAGGTGGAAGTTAGGATTCACTGTGTTTGGCCACACTGTAGTGCAAGAAAAAAAAATTAAACATGACTTCATCTCTTTTTAGTCTTATTGATAAGACCCAGGCTAGACTTGGCTGAGATATGGTTGAAGACTGGTTGTGAAACCATATGAGTCTATTGCCATGTCTCAGGGGCAAGACCCCCCCCCCCCCCCCCCCCCCCCCCCCCCCCCCTAAGAAACTATGAGAAAGTTAATGACTCTAGAGAATGTTATAAACCTGTTGGATTTTAAAAGGCAAATACAATCATTGGTCTTCACAGCCTTTTAACTCATTAATTCAAAGCTTTAGATTAAACTTGTGTACCGTGTTTCCTAAGGGGACGGTCCTCACAATGTTGACACACAATTAAAAGGCTTATTCTCTCCACTCGCCTGCTTTGCTGCCTCTAAAAGAGTAATTTCTGGCTAGAATTACCAGCCAGAGATTACCCAAGGGTGTCCTCATAGTCCTGTTTCAGTCCTCTCAGGCAGCAGGGTGGTTTATGGGGACAGTGGATTGGGAAAAAGATATCGGTGAGAAGAAGTGACAGCTCAGCTCTGGAGACTATGTGTGGGACTTGTGAGCAGAGAACACAGCCTGATTTGTTTTCCCAACATGCATGTTACATTGTGTTGTATTCACACATTTGTCTAATGTTTATATGTGTTTCTTTTATAACTTACTCATAAAGCATATGGCTTTCTTGGGACAAATAGGACATAGGCGTTTAGGGACCAAAAAGCTGCTCATTAGAAATTCAACGAGCAACATGCATGGGCTTCGATGAAGTTATCACTTGTGGGTAGCATATTGTTTGGGTTTTCAAAATGCTTTACAGGGCTGTATTATCATACATTCTTCACCTCTATGCATACTTTAACTAAAATGTTCATCTTGGAACATCTTGATAAGGATTTTGAAAGGAGGGAAAGGGGATACCTTGTCAGTTGCACAACTGAATGCATTCAACCGAAATGTGTCTTCCGCATTTAAAGGTTCAATATGCAGAAATCGCTCCGTCATTTCCTGGTTGCTCAAATTCTACTAGTTTGCCTAATTTCAGTTGATCATTGTACCATCTAAACCGCTGTGAAATATCTTCTCAATAATATGTATTTTCAGCTTACTTGAAGCGGTGTACAAAACCGAAAGTAAAAGACACAAAAATGAAACTTAAGAACGGTAAGAATAGAAATAGTGCACATAGAACAGATCTACCGCTTCTTAGACTTGCTTTCAATGAGAATAACAGATCTACAACTCAGATTTCTATGTGAATTTGGTCGGGACGCCCAATGAATTACATATTGCAGCTTTAACACAAAGAGAGGTGCGGGGGGCCTGCCTTAATCAAGGTCCACATCATAGGCGCCCAGGGAGCAGTTGTTTTGGGGACTAACTGCCTTGCTCAAGGGCCAAACGGCCTTTCAGTTACTGTTCCAACGCTCTAACCGCTAGGCTACCTCCCGCCCCAAAGTTAGCATTAATATGTTAATTTGAGGCAAAACAGCACAATCTCCATGAATATTTGTGTGACCTTATGTCTCTATAGAGTAGGAAGATGTTTTTGGAAGAAAGAATTGTATATACACAGTACCAGTCAAAAGTTTGGACACACCGATTCATTCAAGGGTTTTTCTTTATTTTTTTAAAATGTCTACCTTGTAGAATAGTAGTGAAGACATCAAAACTATGAAATAACACATATGGAATCATGAAGTAATCAAAAAAGTGTTACAAAAATCAAAATATATTTTATATTTTAGATTCTTCAAAGTAGCCATCCTTTGCCTTGATGACAGCTTTGCACAGTCTTGGCATTCTCTCAACCAGCTTCACCTGGAACACTTTTCCAAACGTCTTGAAGAAGTTCCCACATATGCTGAGCACTTGTTGGCTGCTTTGCCTTCACTCTGCGGTCCGACTCATCCCAAACCATCTCAATTTGGTTGAGGTCGGGGGATTGTGGAGGCCAGGTCATCTGATGCAGTACTCCATCACTCTCCTTCTTGGTAAAATAGCCCTTACACAGCCTGGAGGTGTGTTAGGTCATTGTCCTGTTGAAAAACAAATGATAGTCCCACTAAACCCAAACCAGATGGGATGGCGTATCGCTGCAGAATGCTGTGGTAGCTATGCTGGTTAAGTGTGAATTCTAAATAAATCACAGACAGTGTCACCAGCAAAACACCCCCACACCATAACACCTCCTCCTCCATGCTTTACGGTGGGAAATACACATGCAGAGATCATCCGTTCAACCACACCGCATCTCACAAAGACACGGCGGTTGGAACCAAAAATCTCCAATTTGGACTCCAGACCAAAGGACAAATGTCCAAAGGTCTAATGTCCATTGCTCGTGTTTCTTGGCCCAAGCAAGTCTCTTCTTTTTATTGTTGTCCTTTAGTAGTGGTTTCTTTGCAGCAATTCGACCATGAAGGCCTGATTCACACAGTCTCCTCTGAACAGTTGATGATTACATGTGTCTGTTACTTGAACTCTTTGAAGCATTTATTTGGGCTGCAATTTCTGAGGCTGGTAACTCTAATGAACTTATCCTCTGCAGCAGAGGTAACTCTGGGTCTTCCATTCCTGTGGCGGTCCTCATGAGAGCCAGTTTCATCATAGCGCTTGATGGTTTTTGCGACTGCACTTGAAGAAACTTTCAAAGTTATTGAAATGATCCGTATTAACCAACCTTCATGTCTTAAAGTAATGATGGACTGTCATTTCTCTTTGCTTATTTGAGCTGTTCTTGCCATAATATGGACTTGGTCTTTTACCAAATAGGGCTATCTTCTGTATACCCCCCTACCTTGTCACAACACAACTGATTGGCTCAAACGCATTAAGAACGAAAGAAATTCCACAAATTAACTTTTAAGAAGGCACACCTGTTAATTGAAATGCATTCCAGGTGACTAAATCAAATCAAATCAAATGTTCTTTGTCACATGCGCCGAATACAACAGGTGAAATGCTTACTTACAAGCCCTTAACCAACAATGCAGTTTTAAGAAAGAATACCAAAAAAATACCAAAAAAACATTAAATAAAAAAATTATAAGGAATAAAAGTAACTAAAAATTAAAGAGCAACAGTAAAATAACAATAGCGAGGCTATATACAGGGGGTACCGGTACCGAGTCAATCTGCGGGAGCACCGGTTAGTCGAGGTAATTGAGGTAATATGTACATGTATGTAGATAATAAACAAAGAGTAGCAGCAGCGTAAAAAGGGGGGGGGGGGGGGGGGGCAAATATTCTGGGTAGCCATTTTATTAGATGTTCAGGAGTTTTATGGCTTGGGGGTAGAAGCTGTTTAGAAGCCTCTTGGACCTAGACTTGGCACTCCGGTACCGCTTGCTGTGTTGTAGCAGAGAGAACAGTCTATGACTAGGGTGGCTGGAGTCTTTGACAATTTTTAGGGCCTTCCTCTGACACCGCCTGGTATAGATGTCCTGGATTGCAGGAAGCTTGGCCCCTGTGATGTACTGGGCCGTATGCACTACCCTCCACTACAGCCCCGTCGATGAGAATGGAGGCGTGCTCGGTCCTCTTCTTTTTCCTGTAGTCCACAATCATCTTCTTTGTCTTGATCACATTGAGGGAGAGATTGTTGTCCTGGCACCATTTTTTAAAAACATGTTTTAGTCATTTAGCAGACGCTCTTATCCAGAGCAACTTACAGTTAGTGAATACATATTTTAATTTTTTTATACTGGCCCCCCGTGGGAATCAAACCCACAACCCTGGCGTTGCAAACGCCATGCTCTATCAACTGAGCTACATCCCTGCCGGCCATTCCCTCCCCTACCCTGGACGACGCTGGGCCAATTGTGCGCCGCCCATGAGTCTACCGGTCGCGGCCGGCTGCGACAGAGCCTGGATTCGAACCAGGATCTCTAGTGGCACAGTTAGCACTGCGATGCAGTGCCTTAGACCACACGGCCAGGTCTCTGACCTCCTACCATTGTTGTGTCATCGGCAAACTTAATGATGGTGTTGGAGTCGTGCCTGGCCATGCAGTCATGAGTGAACAGGGAGTACAGGAGGGGACTGAGCACGCACCCCTGAGGGGCCCCCGTGTTGAGGGTCAGCGTGGCGGATGTGTTGTTACCTACCCTTACCACCTGGGGGCAGCCCGTCTGGAAGTCCAGGATCCAGTTGCAGAGGGAGGTGTTTAGTCCCAGGGTCCTTAGCTTAGTGATGAGCTTTGAGGGCACTGATCTGTAGTCAATGAAAATCATTCTCACATAGGTGTTCCTTTTGTTCAGGTGTGAAAGGACAGTGTGGAGCACAATAGAGATTGCATAATCTGTGGATCTGTTGGGGCGGTATGCAAATTGGAGTGGGTCTAGGGTTTCTGGGATAATGGTGTTGATGTGAGCTATGACCAGCCTTTCAAAGCACTTCATGGCTACAGACGTCAGTGCTACAGGTCGGTAGTCATTTAGGCAGGTTACCTTTGTGTTCTTGGGCACAGGGACTATGGTGGTCTGCTTGAAACACGTTGGTATTACAGACAGGGAGAGGTTGAAAATGACAGTGAAGACACTTGCCAGTTGGTCAGCGCATGCTCGGAGTACACATCCTGGTAATCCGTTTGGCCTTGCGGCCTTGAGAATGTTGACCTGTTTAAAGGTCTTACTCACATCGGCTACGGAGAGCGTGATCACACAGTCGTCCGGAACAGCTGATGCTCTCATGTATGTTTCAGTGTTACTTGCCTCGAAGTGAGCATAGAAGTAATTTAGCTTGTCTGGTAGGCTTGTGTCACTGGGCAGCTTGCGGTTGTACTTCCCTTTGTAGTCTGTAATAGTTTGCAAGCCCTGCCACATCCGACGAGCGTCGGAACCGGTGTAGTATGATTCGATCTTAGTCCTGTATAGACGCTTTTCCTGTTTGATGGTTCGTCGGAGGGCATAGCGGGATTTCTTAAAAGCTTCCGGGTTAGAGTCCCGCTCCATGAAAGCGGCAGCTCTACCCTTTAGCTCAGTGCGGATGTTGCCTGTAATCCATGGCTTCTGGTTGGGGTATGTACATACAGTCACCGTGGGGATGACGTTATCGATGCACTTATTGATGAAGCCAGTGACTGATGTGGTGTACTCCTCAATGCCATCGGAAGAATCCCGGAACATATTCCAGTCTGTGCTAGCAAAACAGTCCTGTAGCATAGCATCTGCTTCATCTGACCACTTTTTTATTGACAGAGTCACTGGTGCTTCCTGCTTTAGTTTTTGCTTGTAAGCAGGAATCAGGAGGATAGAATGATGGTCAGATTTGCCAAATGGAGGGTGAGGGAGAGCTTTGTACGTGTCTTTGTGTGTGGAGTAAAGGTGGTCTAGAGTTTTTTCCCTCTGGTTGCACATTTAACATGCTGGTAGAAATGAGGTGAAACGGATTTAAGTTTCCCTGCATTAAAGTCCCCGGCCACTAGGAGCGCCACCTCTGGATGAGTGTTTTCCTGTTTGCTTATGGCCGTATACAGTTCATTGAGTACGGTCTTAGTGCCAGCATCGGTTTGTGGTGGTAAATAGACAGCTACGAAGAACATAGATGAAAACTATCTTGGTAGATAGTGTGGTCTACAGCTTATCATGAGATACTCTACCACAGGCGAGCAAAACCTAGAGACTTCCTTAGATATCGTGCACCAGCTCTTGTTTACAAATATACATAGACCGCCACCCCTTGTCTTACCAGAGGCTGCTGTTCTGTCCTGCCGATACAGTGTATAACCCGCCAGCTGAATGTTATTCATGTCATCGTTCAGCCACGACTCTGTGAAACATAAGATATTACAGTTTTTAATGTCCCGTTGGTAGGATATACGTGCTTGTAGTTTGTCCACTTTATTATCAAGTGATTGTACGTTGGCCAATAGTATCGATGGCAAAGGCAGATTACCCACTCGTCACCGGCTCCTTACCAGGCACCCCGATCTCCTTCCGCGATATCTCCTTTTCTCTCTAATGCGAATGACGGGGATGAGGGCCCTGTCGGGTGTCTGGAGCAAATCCCTCTCGTCCGACTCATTAAAGAAAAAGTATTTGTCCAGTTCAAGGTGAGTAATCGCTGTTCTGATGCCCAGAAGCTCTTTTCGGTCATAAGAGACGGTAGCAGGAACATTATGTACAAAATAAGTTACAAACAATGCGAAAAAACTAACAAAATAGCACGGTTGGTTAAGAGTCCATAAAACGGCAGCCATCCCCTCTGGTGCCACACACACACAGAGTACCTCATGAAGCTGGTTGAGAGAATGCCAAGAGTGTGCAAAGCTGTCATCAAGGCAAAAGGTGGCTATTTGAAGAATCTCAAATATAAAATATATTTTGATTTGTTTAACACTTTTTTGGTTACTACATGATTCCATATGTGTTATTTCATAGTTTTGATTTCTTCACTATTATTCTATAATGTATAAAATAGTAAAAATAAAGAAAAACCCTTGAATGAGTAGGTGTGTCCAAACTTTTGACTGGTAGTGTATACAGTGGGGAAAAAAAGTATTTAGTCAGCCACCAATTGTGCAAGTTCTCCCACTTAAAAAGATGAGAGAGGCCTGTAATTTTCATCATAGGTACACATCAACTATGACAGACAAAATGAGAAAAGAAAATCCAGAAAATCACATTGTAGGATTTTTAATGAATTTATTGGCAAATGATGGTGGAAAATAAGTATTTGGTCAATAACAAAAGTTTCTCAATACTTTGTTATATACCCTTTGTTGGAAATGACACAGGTCAAACATTTTCTGTAACTCTTCACAAGGTTTTCACACACTGTTGCTGGTATTTTGGCCCATTCCTCCATGCAGATCTCCTCTAGAGCAGTGATGTTTTGGGGCTGTCGCTGGGCAACACAGACTTTCAACTCCCTCCAAAGATTTTCTATGGGGTTGAGATCTGGAGACTGGCTAGGCCACTCCAGGACCTTGAAATGCTTCTTACGAAGCCACTCCTTCGTTGCCCGGGCGGTGTGTTTGGGATCATTGTCATGCTGAAAGACCCAGCCACGTTTCATCTTCAATGCCCTTGCTGATGGAAGGAGGGTTTCACTCAAAATCTCACGATACATGGCCCCATTCATTCTTTCCTTTACACGGATCAGTCGTCCTGGTCCCTTTGCAAAAAAACAGCCCCAAAGCATGATGTTTCCAACCCCATGCTTCACAGTAGGTATGGTGTTCTTTGGATGCAACTCAGCATTCTTTGTCCTCCAAACATGACGAGTTGAGTTTTTACCAAAAAGTTATATTTTGGTTTCATCTGACCATATGATATTCTCCCAATCCTCTTCTGGATCATCCAAATGCACTTCAGACGGGCCTGGACATGTACTGGCTTAAGCAGGGGGACACGTCTCGCACTGCAGGATTTGAGTCCCTGGCGGCGTAGTGTGTTACTGATGGTTGGCTTTGTTACTTTGGTCCCAGCTCTCTGCAGGTCATTCACTAGGTCCCCCCGTGTGGTTCTGGGATTTTTGCTCACCGTTCTTGTGATCATTTTGACCCCACGGGGTGAGATGTTGCGTGGAGCCCCAGATCGAGGGAGATTATCAGTGGTCTTGTATGTCTTCCATTTCCTAATAATTGCTCCCACAGTTGATTTCTTCAAACCAAGCTGCTTACCTATTGCAGATTCAGTCTTCCCAGCCTGGTGCAGGTCTACAATTTTGATTTTGGTGTCCTTTGACAGCTATTTGGTCTTGGCCATTGTGAAGTTTGGAGTGTGACTGTTTGAGGTTGTGGACAGGTGTCTTTTATACTGATAACAAGTTCAAACAGGTGCCATTAATACAGGTAACGAGTGGAGGACAGAGGAGCCTCTTAAAGAAGAAGTTACAGGTCTGTGAGAGCCAGAAATCTTGCTTGTTTGTAGGTGACCAAATACTTATTTTCCACCATAATTTGCAAATAAATTCATTAAAAATCCTACAATGGGATTTTCTGGATTTTTTTTTCTCAATTTGTCTGTCATAGTTGACGTGTACCTATGATGAAAATTACAGGCCTCTCTCATATTTTTAAGTGGGAGAACTTGCACAATTGGTGGCTGACTAAATACTTTTTTGCCCCACTGTATATATTTTTATATTATATATATATATGTTTTACAGTACACCCTTTCTTAACCTTCAACTCCATCCTTCTTTTTGTGTAAACAGGACGAGAAGAACCAGATGATGACGACCAACGTCTGGGTAAAACAAGTACGTTCAAATCAAAGGCAGAGCTCCATTGTACATTAACTGGACCATATAATTAAATGGAACACTAATATAATAGAATATAATGTATCTCTATGAACTATAATTCAATAATAATAATAATTAGGTGGGTGCTTATATAAGTGTGTATTAATACGCATGTGTGAAATGGAAATGTATTTTTTGCATATCCCAACTCCCCCTGAGACACCCTCGGAGAGTGTGGTCACGGCAAGGGCAATTGACATGCTAGTATTGCACATTTACCTTCGACATATATTATTTGTAATGTAACCTGCCTGCATGAATAGAACATTGCATCTCTATTCCCCACAGGAGTGGAATGATTATAAGCTCCGCTGGAAGCCAGAGGAGTACGAGAACGTCACCTCCATCCGCATCCCATCGGAAATCATCTGGAGGCCTGATATTGTGCTTTATAACAAGTAAAGTACTTGTTTTTAGGCAATCCTTCACTTCAAACAAGCTGCCTAGGGTGTATCGAAACTAACGGTGTAATAGTTTGACAGCTGGACAGCAACTCGTTATGAAAGATTTGAATACTGATTGATGCATATTCCGATTTTCTGGAGAATCCTCATTGGGACCTGCATGAGTCAGCTACCCCATCTCAAGGGTCATTCCAATACTAAACATATGGGGTGAATTTAGCAGTTATGCCCTCAGCCCCTCGCTTTTGCCCCCTCAATTGTTCTCCAGAGTAGACTGATCCGATCCCTCACAATACCCAGCAATCTCCCCTTCACATCGTTAACTCATCAAATAGCTGTTGCTGAAATAACATTTGCATGTTCGTCACCGTTATAGAGTGAAACTGAATGCGTGGACTGAACGAAAAAGGAAAACGAGAACCGGCTTATGTCTTTTGTCTTAAATTGACTGCTGTTTTGATGTGTAGCGGTTGCGGTTGGGGAAATCCCTTCACAACAAATGGGATGACTTTAAGAACAGCTGGAAATATGTGCAAGCATCGAGCCAAAGTCTTTCGTCCTATGGCCAATGTCATTACTTAATTTGGCTAAGATAGATCTGAGAGAGGTCAGTCAAAATGGGCCTGGTCATAAACAATGCAATACATTAGGAGGGGAATTAGGGGACAAAATGTAATTGGATGTGCTTTGGGAGGTCGAAGACATGCATCACTTTGACTGATACCCACTGGTGGACCCATTTTACATCCTATAAAAGGACAGTAAACTGAAAAGGATAGCTAGACTGGATTTCTAACCTGCAGCTGGGTTTCCATAACTGGGCTTGTGGCTAGGTAAACCACACAAATATTTGTGAATGATTGGGTATCACAAAGAAACATCATTACCTTTTGCAGTCCATTGCCTCCAGACTTCTAGTTTCATGAAATGAACAAATGAACATGTGTGGTCTAATGTTGAAATAATCCAAGCAAACATGGAAGCATGAGTTCAAAGCGCAGTAGTACATACAAATTAAATTTACTGTTGGTAGCAGGCAGGCAAAATGCATTGGGGAATATTGCAAACTCAGTACATGAGTACATGCATTTGTAGTTAAATGGCAGTTGTTCCTCAAAAATTGTGTTTGATGATGTGTTCCTTATTGTCACTGAACATGCAGTCAGTGATAATACAGTGTTGTATTGTGTAAAATTGTTCAAGAATAACACTGGGTTAGGATCTGTTAAATTCTTCACAAATTATTTAGTGCTACTATAAATCTGGGGACCAATGCTGACTTAAGAAATGCATACAAAGTAAAAACATGTAAATCGACCATATAGTATTTGTAGACTAAATCCTTAAAGTAATTGCCATATTTCCAATTATGATATTGCATGAATAACACATTTAAGGGGTTGCTACTTCACTAATGTATTTCCTCTGTAGCGCTGATGGTGACTTCGCGGTGACCCACCTGACCAAGGCCCACCTGTTCTACGACGGGCGCATCAAGTGGATGCCGCCGGCCATCTACAAGTCCTCTTGCAGCATCGACGTCACCTTCTTCCCCTTCGACCAGCAGAACTGCAAGATGAAGTTTGGCTCGTGGACTTACGACCGTGCCAAGATCGACTTGATCAGTATAGCCAGTGACGTGGACCAGATGGACTACTGGGAGAGCGGCGAGTGGGTGATCATCAACGCCGTGGGCAAGTACAACACCAAGAAGTACGAGTGCTGCACAGAGATCTACCCCGACATCACCTATTACTTCATCATCCGCAGGCTGCCGCTTTTCTACACCATCAACCTGATTATACCATGTTTGTTGATCTCCTGTCTGACTGTCTTGGTGTTCTATCTGCCCTCCCAGTGTGGCGAGAAGATCACCCTGTGTATCTCTGTGTTGCTGTCTCTCACCGTCTTCCTCTTGCTCATTACTGAGATCATCCCGTCCACCTCGTTGGTCATCCCGCTCATCGGCGAGTACCTCCTCTTCACAATGATCTTCGTCACCCTCTCAATCATCATCACCGTCTTTGTGCTCAATGTGCACCATCGCTCGCCGCGCACCCACGGCATGCCTCAATGGGTGCGGCGGGTCTTCCTGGACCTGGTGCCTCGTGTGCTTTTCATGAAGCGGCCACCGGCCACCGCCAAGCAGAACTGCCGGAAGCTGATTGAGATGATGCACCAGACCAGCTCCTCGACAGCAGCCGGTCAGTCGCAGTCTTTCTGGGCCGGGGTGGAGACGGGGCTAGGACAGCTAGGACACACACTGCCTGCCACCCACTCTGACAGCTCCAACATCCTGGCCCTTTCCCCTTCGCCCTCCCCCTCTCCTCCCCAGGGCCTGCCCTTGGAGGAGCACCCCCTCAAGGCTCCCCAGCCCTTCTGCCGCTCTCCTTCCAGCCAGTACTCCATCCTCTTGGAGGAGCCTGGCAAGCTCGGGAACACCGCCTCCCCTTTGTCCTGCTCAACCCACTCCTCCACCCCGTCCTCCTCCTCCCCCCCGTCTCTGCTGCTGGGTCCCCTGGGTCCAGTCCACTCTCTGCCCCGGGACGAGCAGCGAATACTCTCCCCACACGGGCGGAGCCACAGTGTAGAAAACGTGTTTGACCAGAGGGAGCCTAACCGGGAGCCCCCCCAGAGGGCCGGGCACTGCTGCCGCTCCCACAGCTTCCAATACTGCTGCCTGCACGAAGAAGGGGGTGGGGTTGCTGGTGGTGGCAAGGGCCGAGGGGCTGTAGGTGAAGGAAGGCTAAAGAGACAGGTCCTGCTAGACCAACTAGCTAGAGCCTCCTCCACAGAGCCCACCATGGGTCTAGTGATCCGGGAAACCATGGTCCCCAGAATATCCCCGTCGATGAGAAGGGCCATAGAGGGCGTGCAGTACATTGCTGACCACCTCAGGGCAGAGGACGCTGACTTCTCAGTGAGTTTGTTGACATTACCTTTTCTGTCAGAGCACCTTAATTTCCATATGAACCATGAATGGTTTGTATAACATTCTCTCAATGTTGAAAGTAGCATTGCCTTCTAAGATCTTATTGCAAGGTTACCCTATGACTTGATATACTGCAGGGGTCTCCAACAGGTCGATGCCCACCTATGAGTAGCTCGCCAAACAATTCTGAAAATAAATGCAATCTTCACGCTTTCTATTGCAAAGTGTCATAAACAAATCTCACACGTCTCAGACACCGCAAGCTCCCAGCTACTATCAAATCAACGCAACATTGACATTATCTCACCCCTGGTTAGCCACTATTGGCTTAAAAAGACAAACCTAACACAATATCTGCCAATCAATTTTTAGCAATATTGCCCGTCTGTCTGTGTGGTGCGCGCGTTTGTGAGAACCGTCTTGTGGGTTGACAGAAATACTTTCCCCAAAACCTTCTCAATTAAATGTTAACTGCAGAGTACACTTACCTGGCAGAAGTATTTATGAGTAAGTACATCATTAGTCTCTATTATTTGTTATTTGCTAACTTTGCCATGAACTGAGCAGCAGCAGTACAGAACCACCCCTAGACCGGCACATTAGACGGCACATTCCTCACAGATTTGATGCACAATTAAAAGGGAAATCACACTCGAAAATATATTTGTTCGTTTTCTTCCAGACCTAAAAAAAAAATGGTATTCTTATGTGATTTAAGCATTGACATGGAGTCAGAACATCCAATGTCGTTGTTTCTCTATGAACAATTGTAATGTTGAGAGTAAAAATAATAATAATTTAAATCAGAAAAAATTAAACTGAGAAAACGTCATTTGGGAATATATAAGACAGCATTTTTGGGGGAAATCACAGATTTTATAGGGCCCCCCTTAGAGTTCTTTATTAACCATTATTTTACCAGGTATATTGACAGAAAACACAACTTTCTCTTGTACAAGCAAAGAGTTGCAAGGGAGACGAGAAGAGAAGAATGTGCCTATTTGAAAGGTAGAACAAAATGAGTAGCTCGCGACGCGTTTCATTTATTAAAAGTAGCTCTAATGCTAGAAAAGGTTGGAGACCCCTGATATTCTGTATATTGTATTCATGATCCATTTGAAAAGATTAGGCAAAATCAAGGTTTAGCTCTGCGGTATTCTGAAAAATGACATTTAAGACTTTTCTCACTACCTTGCCAAATCCATTCCTTCATATTTAATGGATGGCCGCTCACCTAAATTTGACAATACAAGCCTTTCCAGGTGTCCTTGAGACAAAGTTCCTGTGTTGTATTTTGAAGCACAACAGGGTTGTGGTATTGCGAGCAGAAAACCAATAGGCAGCAAATCACTTTGAAGTCCTTGGTAAATATATATCGATAGCTGAGAGTCATAGGCAAACAGGTGTGACACAGACAAGCTTAGATTAACAATCGAGGATGATTTCTACTGTGAAGAGAAGCTGCTGAATAAACAGGCCAGGGAAATTCCCAGGCAAAAATTGGTGGTCTCTGCAAAAGCTAGAGGTTTCTGAAATGGGGATGCACAATGTAGCTAAAGTTTACGGCTAGGAGCTCTAGCCAGTGTATACTTATCTTTGAAACAAATAAGGCTTTACAATGTTGCCCTGAATATTTCATAAGCAAGCTGGGAATGACTGACATTTAAGGTAATGAAAAAAATCTTCCATTCGCAAGAAATCAATCAAGGGCAGAAATTGACAGCCTGTAAAATGTTTGTGCAGTGTGGTGTGGATATTCAAAATGACCATCTCTTCTCTTTTCTTCTTCTCCACCAGGTAAAGGAGGACTGGAAGTATGTGGCCATGGTCATTGACAGGATATTTCTCTGGATGTTTGTACTAGTGTGTATACTGGGAACACTGGGACTATTCCTTCCTCCTTGGCTGGCTGGAATGATCTAGAAACCTAGATTCCAGACACAATGAAACCGTGTGGAAGTCCGGTTCCGAGAGAGATTAACAACAAGAGACACAGAGTTACAATGCAAAGTTACCTGTGAGTCTCTCTAGGCCAATGTATTTCTAGGTTTTCTAATAATGGTTGATTTGTATTTTATGCCTTTTTTGTTGCTTTTTGGATTGAACGTGTAAGTCACTGTCTTTATTTGTGTGTTGCCATTGTGCACAGGTTATCGTGAGGTTATTCACAGAGAAATGGAGGGGATGTGGCTTTCATTGATTCCACAGAACATATGAATTCTTTATGAGACCAAAAGGCCGACAGTGAAAACATCCTTCTACATAATTCCATTTTGACATTGAGCTGCGTAGCCCAGGTCCTCACCTATGTATAACGAATGAAGGATGGGCTGACCTGCGCACGTTGCTGATTCATTAGCTTGAAATGCTAAAACTTGAATTGATCAGTTTAAATTAAATGGAGGTTAATGAAAAAAATCCCATCCCTATGACCGTTTGTTCATCTGATATTTAATTTTGCCTGATGACAATAAACTATATATACAAAAGTATGTGGACACCCCTTCAAATTTGTAGATTCGGCTGTTTCAGCCACACCAGTTGCTGACAGGTGTATAAAATCAAGCACACAGCCATGCAATCTCCATATTCAAATATTGGCAGTAGAATGGCCTTACTGAAGAGCTCAGTGACTTTCAACGTGGCGCCGTTATAGGATGCCACCTTTCCAACATGTCAGTTCGTCAAATTCCTGCCCTGCTAGAGCTGCCCCGGTCAACTGTAAGTGCTGTTATTATGAAGTGGAAACATCTACACTACCGTTCAAAAGTTTGGGGTCACTTAGACATTTCCTTGTTTTCGAAAGAAAAGCAATTTTTTTGTCAATTAAAATAACATCAAATTCGATCAAAAATACAGTGTAGACATTGTTAATGTTGTACAGTGTGGGAAAAAAGTATTTGATCCCCTGCTGATTTGGTACGTTTGCCCACTGACAAAGAAATGATCAGTCTATAATTTTAATTGTAGGTTTATTTGAACAGTGAGAGACAGAATAACAACACAAAAATCCAGAAAAACGCATGTCAAAAATTTTATAAATTGATTTGCATTTTAATGAGGGAAATAAGTATTTGACCCCCCCTCAATCAGAAAGATTTCTGGCTCCCAGGTGTCTTTTATACAGGTAACGACCTGAGATTAGGAGCACACTCTTAAAGGGAGTGCTCCTAATCTCAGCTTGTTACCTGTATAAAAGACACCTGTCCACAGAAGCAATCAATCAATCAGATGCCAAACTCTCCACCATGGCCAAGACCAAAGAGCTCTCCAAGGATGTCAGGGACAGGATTGTAGACCTACACAAGGCTGGAATGGGCTACAAGACCATCGCCAAGCAGCTTGGTGAGAAGTTGACAACAGTTATTCGCAAATGGAAGAAACACAAAAGCGCTGTCAATTTCCCTCGGCCTGGGGCTCCATGCAAGATATCACCTCGTGGAGTTGCAATGATCATGAGAGCGGTGAGGAATCAGCCCAGAACTACACGGGAGGATCTTGTCAATGATCTCAAGGCAGCTGGGACCATAATCACCAAGAAAACAATTGGTAACACACTACGCCGTGAAGGACTGAAATCCTGCAGTGCCCGCAAGGTCCCCCTGCTCAAGAAAGTTCATATACAGGCCCGTCTGAAGTTTGCCAATGAACATCTGAATGATTCAGAGGAGAACTGGGTGAAAGTGTTATGGTCAGATGAGACCAAAATGGAGCTCTTTGGCATCAACTCAACTCGCAGTGTTTGGAGGAGGAGAAATTCTGCCTATGACCCCAAGAACACCATCCCCACCGTCAAACATGGAGGTGGAAACATTATGCTTTGGGGGTGTTTTTCTGCTAAGGGGACAGGACAACTTCACCGCATCAAAGGGACGATGGACGGGGCCATGTACCGTCAAATCTTAGGTGAGAACCTCCTTCCCTCAGCCAGGGCATTGAAAATGGGTCGTGGAAGGGTATTCCAGCATGACAATGACCCAAAACACACGGCCAAGGCAACAAAGGAGTGGCTCAAGAAGAAGCACATTAAGGTCCTGGAGTGGCCTAGCCAGTCTCCAGACCTTAATCCCATAGAAAATCTGTGGAGGGAGCTGAAGGTTCGAGTTGCCAAACGTCAGCCTCGAAACCTTAATGACTTGGAGAAGATCTGCAAAGAGGAGTGGGACAAAATCCCTCCTGAGATGTGTGCAAACCTGGTGGCCAACTACAAGAAACGTCTGACCTCTGTGATTGCCAACAAGGGTTTTGCCACCAAGTACTAAGTCATGTTTTGCAGAGGGGTCAAATACTTATTTCCTTCATTAAAATGCAAATCAATTTATAACATTTTTGACATGCATTTTTCTGGATTTTTTTGTTGTTATTCTGTCTCTCACTGTTCAAATAAACCTACTATTAAAATTATAGACTGGTCATATCTTTGTCAGTGGGCAAACGTACAAAATCAGCAGGGGATCAAATACTTTTTTCCCTCACTGTAAATGGCTATTGTAGCTGGAAACGGCTGATTGTTTATGGAATATCTACATAGGTGTACAGAGGCCCATTATCAGCAACCATCAGTCCTGTGTTCCAATGGCACGTTGTGTTTGCTAATCCAAGTTTATCATTTTAAAAGGCTAATTGATCATTAGAAAACCCTTTTGCAATTATGTTAGCACAGCTGAAAACTGCTGTTCTGATTAAAGAAGCAATACAACTGGCCTTCTTGAGACTAGTTGAGTATCTGGAGCATCAGCAATTGTGGGTTCGATTACAGGCTCATAATGGCCAGAAACAAATAACTTTATTCTGAAACTCATCAGTGAAGCAATGTCAGCAGAAGAACTGTTTGTCGGGATCTTCATGAAATGGGTTTCCATGGCCGAGCAGCCACACACAAGCCTAAGATCACCATGCACAATGCCAAGCGTTGGCTGGAGTGGTGTAAGGGGCAGTGTGTTCCTCATCAAACAGAGGAGACCTAGGAGATAACATGGAGAGGGAGGGGCAGTGTGTGTTAAGGGTGTGTGAGAAAGTGCATATGTCATACACATTTTGGCAAAGCTTTCATGTACAGTACAAATGTTTGTATGTGTGTGTGAGGGAGAGCGTGTGTGTGTGTTGGGGGGGGGAAAGTCTTTGAAGGATTCATTCTGTTTTAATAAAAGGACAGGTCTTAGGGACCTATTAAAGCTGCAATATGTAACTTTTTTGGGCGACCCGACCAAATTCACATAGAAATGTTAGTTATAGATCTGTCATTCTCGTTGAAAGCAAGTCTGAGAAGTGGAAGATCTGTTCTATGTGCGCTATTTCTATGCTTCCCGTGCTCAAGTTTAATTCTTGCGTCTTTTACTTTAGGTTTTGTATACCAGCTTCAAACAGCTGAAAATACAATATTTCTGGGTATTGAAAATATATTTCACAGTGGGGAAACACATTGCCTTTACCGTGAATGCAATCTCCTGAGTGGCGCAGTGGTCTAAGGCGCTGCATCGCAGTGCTAACTGTGCCACTAGAGATCCTGGTTCGAATCCAGGCTCTGTCGCAGCTGGCCGCGACCGGGAGACTCATGGGCGGCGCACAATTGGCCCAGCGTCGTCCAGGGTAGGGGAGGGAATGGCCGGCAGGGATGTAGCTCAGTTGGTAGAGCATGGCGTTTGCAACGCCAGGGTTGTGGGTTTGATTCCCACGGGGGGCCAGTATAAAAAATATATATATATGTATTCACTAACTGTAAGTCGCTCTGGATAAGAGCGTCTGCTAAATGACTAAAATGTAAATGTAAAATGTGTAAAGCTCGCCGCCATTGGACTGTGGAGCAGTGGAAATGCGCTCTCTGGAGTGATGAATCACGCTTCACCATCTGGCAGTTCAAAAGACTGATCTAGATTTGGCAGATGCCAGAAAAACGTTACCTGCCCAAATTCATAGTGCCAACTGTAAAGTTTGGTGGAGGAGGAATAATGGTCTGGTGATCTTTTTCATGGTTCAGGCTAGGCCCCTTAGTTCCAGTGAAGGGAAATCTTAATGCTACAGCATACAATGAATGACATTCTAGACGATTCTGTGCTTCCAACTTTGTGGAAACAGTTTGGGGAAGGTCCTTTACTGTTTCAGCATGACAATGCCCCCGTGCACGAAGCGAGGTCCATACAGAAATGGTTTGTCGAGATTGGTGTGGAAGAACTTGACTGGTCTGCACAGAGCCTTGACCTCAACCCCATCGAACACATTTGGGATGAATTGGAACACCGAATGCGAGCCATGCCTAATCACCCCAACATCAATCAGTGCCCGACCTCACTAATGCTCTTGTGGCTGAATGGAAGCAAGTCCCTGCAGCAATGTTCCAACATCTAGTGGAAAGCCTTCCCAGAAGAGTGGAGGCTTTTATAGCAGCAAAGGGGGAACCAACTCGATATTAATGCCCATGATTTTGGAATGAGATGTTCGACGAGCAGGTGTCCACATACTTTTGGTCATGTAGTGTATGTTCACCATCCTAAGACAATTTTAATATATCAGCAATAGGGACACACAGATCATTATAAAGTTCACAAATGTATTTTACAACCTAATGAATCGGCACAATCTTGATTACTGGTTACCTGTGTTTGGTGATGAGTGAAATTGATTCTCAATTTGTTTCAGGAGCACGATTTTAATGAACCCTATCTGCAGTCTCAGCTGTTAGATATTGATTTTGATGATGGAACGAAAGTAATTTGTCAATGAAAAGAGCACAGTCTCTTTTTTAAACATGGACAAGAGTTTTACCATTCCGATCTTGGTTAAATGTTGTTCATTGTATGATTTTTGTATCTCCATTGTAACACCGCTATTCAAATGAAAATCTATTGAATAACTTCTGCAAATAACTTCAGAGTTGTTACAATTGGATTTGAAACCACTATGGATTTGATTAACACATTACTGGT